AAGACACTTGATAGTCTCTCTCTCTCTCTCTCTCTCTCTCTCTCTCTCTCTCTCTCTCTCTCTCTCTCTCTCTCTCTCTCTCTCTCTCTCTCTCTCTCTCTCTCTCTCTCTCAGTCTCTCAACCAGTTAGACTGTGGTGAATAGTTGCATGGGCCTGGTTGACTGATTGGGTTAGGGTTAGGGAATGTACAACTGGTTTACAACGACTCCATATGCAACTGACTGACCCCTTTAGTTTGTATGCTCTCCTTTTAAGAGAGGCGGTCGGATCAGCCAGTCCAATCAATTCAATGTTCCAGGCTTTAGTGTCGTTTCTAGCTCTAACAAGGATAATATAAAAACAAATAACTTTAAAAACAAAGTCTATCTGCTGACTGAAATCTCTCTTTACATCTGAAGGTATCCGATCCGTGAGCCCAGAGAGCATTGCTTTGGAGACAAGGAGGAATTCCCAGGCGTGAGAACCTATGGCGTGAGAGATGTCAACGAGACCTACGACGTGTACTGTTTTGCTGAGAAGCTTTCAGGTACTGTCATCAACACGAATTATGTTTATCCCGTTTATTTTCCTCAGGTTTCCACAATTAAACATACAAGAAAACATTGGTTTTACATCCACTTTTTCCCCTGGGAGAAAAACACATGCCTCTCTCGTTCCCAAGCACTTCTTCACCTGTTTCCAATTAATACCAAATCCCCTAAAACTGCAAACTACAAGTAGCAACTGCAACAACTGCAGAGTAGCAATATGTGCTGCTCTGCAGGCCCTGACACTGCGACAACACGTAGCAACGGGCATTATTAATGGGACGTATTGTTGTCAAATGTTGGAGAGAACGTTTGTTGCTAGCCTATTTAATGATTTGTACGTTCAAGCCAAACGTTTAAATCAATCATGAAAAGTAATGTGAGACAGTGAAGGGCGGCACACACTGGAACAAAAAGCGCTCTAGTATTTAAAAGTTTCTTGAGCTAGAACTCCTGCTCTGTAACGTAGTAGTGTTTTTAAAAATATATTTGATTGAAGACACAGAAAATATATTTGGTACATTGACAGGAACCACAGTTACAAATGTTCAACAGTTCAAAGCTACTAGTGTTCAGCTTAGTCTCTACTATTGTACATTAATTGACAAGACATACATAGTTGATCTTCAATTGAAGGCGTACAATATTTAAACCACAATTATAACCAAAACATACCATGTAGCCAAAATGTAAGAGAGTGTTGTACAGACTAACAGGACAAATATAATAATGTCTGTAATGCCTTTCTCCTCCAGGCAGGGTCTTCTACTCCATGTCTGTAGAGAAGTTTAGTTTCTACGAAGCAGGAGATCAGTGTAACAAACTGGGCGCTCGGCTCGCTAACACCGGAGAGCTCTACCTGGCCTGGAAGGACGGCATGGACGTGTGTAACGCCGGCTGGCTGGGGGACAGGAGCGTTCGCTACCCCATCAACATCGCCAGGCCTCAGTGTGGAGGGGGGCTCATCGGAGTGAGAACCGTCTACCTGTTCCCCAACCAGACAGGATACCCCTACCCAGACTCTCGCTACGATGCCGTCTGCTTCCAAGGTAAGTCCTTCATTGAGAAGAAAATCTACTGGTCAGTGTCGTTTAGGAGCTTCTTTTTTTAGGTTGTTTTAAAGGTCACCTATTATGCAAAATCCACTTGTTCACATCTTGTATACATCAACATGTGTCCCCTCTGTGTAAAGAGATTCTGAAAGTTTCAGGAAAAAAGATTTTTTTGTCCTGATCCATTTCTATAAAAACCTGTCTGAAAATGAGCTGATCAGATTTTGGCCACTTTATGATGTCATAACAATTTTTTGTCTTGTGTAACCATTAGCCAATCAGCGTCCAAGGTAACCCCCCCCCCCCCCCCCTTATCACCTGAATCCCCTCCTAGAGCACCATTGAGTTCTTTGTAACCAAATATCTCTCAGAGGGGCGTGGGGAGGGGCTCCTTATTTTCATCTAAAGTAACAGACAGAGAATCAGCACTTTGGAAACAGGGCTGAAACAGAGGGGATTATGGGTAATGCTGCAATGATCTGTTTAGTATTTGGAGCCAAACACTTCAGACATGTTTTGTATATATCTGAGACCTATAATGTATTGATGTAAAACAGTATAATAGGGGACCTTTAAGATAATGCTATTTTATGATGGGTTTCTGACTTTCCATTTCATCAAGCCATTATGCAATCTTGTATTCTCAGCTGAAGAGGACTCCAATGCTGTTCCCATGAGAACGACCCCTTTCCCAGACATTATCCGCATGACACCCCCCCCTGGGCCGCACCCGGGCTTCAACCTCTCCCCGGGAACAGAGGAGAGCAAGACTGGAGGAGTTGACACCTTGTTCGCATTACCCATCCCACCTAGTATGACAGATGTAGATACTGCCATGGCTCCAACAGGTAAGATGTGATTAGATATGTGAACCCTAACCCTTGATGATTGACAAAACACTTTGAAATAATTATTTAAACTGTTAGGGAACATTTCTGCAAAGGTGTAGCCTTTAGAGAGGGTTAAACCTTCACCTATTTCCCAAAACAAGAGAATATTCTCCATTGGCATTGGCTTTGCAAGTTCCTGCCTTTTTATAATTACTTTTAAGTAATAAAAGTTAAGAAAGAAGTTGGATTTACATTTTGAACGTATCTCAAAAAGGCCTTTTGAATGTGTGATTGGCTAATGGTCACACGAGCCAAGAAATCGTTATGACAACAATGACTGCAACTGCTTTCTTCCCTCCCCCTCCTCATCCAGGTGTGGTGTTTCACTACCGTCCCATCACCGGTCGGTACACTCTGAGCTTCGTGGCGGCTCAGCAGGCGTGTCAGAGCGTCGGCGCCGTCATCGCCAGCGGCCAGCAGCTGCAGGCGGCCTTCGAGAAAGGTCTTCACCAATGTGACGCCGGCTGGCTGCGAGACCAGACTGTCAGGTGAGCAGGAGGCGAGGGAAAACAGAGATCAACCACAACATGTTTCCCATAATGGGCTGATTTTCATTGAATTTAATGATTACAGGTTTTTGTTGAATAGTTCATCAAAATCCTTGCTGTTTCCCCAACATAATAGCTACTGGACTAGGCTTTTTACTGCAATAAAACCTGACAATGACATTTTCAAGACCATACTACTCTTGTTTCAACATTGGGTTTCGTTTGGACATCTTCAAGTCATCATTAAAAACTCACCAGAGTAAGGGACCTTTACATCAACAATGTTTTCGGTAGCTTTAGCCAACTCTCTGACAAATATAGCCTCCCAGACTCTCATCTATTTCGCTACTTCCAGGTCCGAAACTGGGTTAAACTAAACAACCCTTCCTTCCCCAATATCCCTCCGGATTCAATAATTGACTCAATTCTGGACACTCTAACAACAGAAAAAGGTCTGGTTTCAAGAATTTACAATTCCATCTCCTGTCTCACAGAAACATCTCTTGGTAAAATCAAACAAGATTGGGAAGAGGAACGATAGTAGCGAGAGTGAACAATAGTACGTCCTGTGCTAGGCTCAATCTTATACAACTTAAAGTTGTCCACCGTATCTATTACACCAACTCTAAACTCTCCAAAATAGACCCTAATATCACGGATACCTGTAACAGATGTCACACGTCACCAGCAAACATGAATCATATGTTTTGGTCTTGTCCTCGCCTACAAAAAAAAAGGGAAAAATATAGACCGTATAAATGTAACTCATTGTGCCTGACTCAATAAATAAAAGAACTCACCTGTTCACCATGGCCTTTGACCCCTAACCCATCACAGTCCCCCTGCTTCCACTCCTACTGCTATTTATTTAATTTGTCACTTTATTATTTGCCCCTTTTGTTTTGTTTGTTTGTTCACCATGTAAAGCAGCCTTGGGTCCCTTGAAAGACGCTATACAAATGTAATCTATTATTATTATTATTATTATTATTAATAAACTATTTGAAACCAATCAAAACCCCAGGATTTAAAATCTCTGGTTGTATATGTTTTATACAAAACTCTAAACAACTCTGTGCGACGATTAAAGGTATCCTGATTCTGATTAACAACACGGATTCCTCGAGGGATGTTACAGAAACGAAAAGCCGTACTAAAGTGTCCCCCTATCCTCTTTCCTGTTCAGGTATCCCATCGTGTCGCCCAGAGATAACTGTGCTGGTAATCTGCCTCACATCCCCGGAGTCAGATCCTACGGCCTGAGACCAGCAAGCGAACAATTCGATGTGTTTTGTTATATGGAACGTCTGAAAGGTGAGGAGCTTTATATTATATTTGTATATGTTTTTTATATTTTATATTGTTGCATCGACTCAGTTGTCTTGAGTCTTATCTGTCAGAGTGAAACCATTATTTATTTGATTTGTATTATCATACATTTGACCTCTTTGTGTCTGTTAACCTGATCAAATGTTGTATTTTGCTGCATGTGCCTTTTAAAGTTCTTAACAAATAATCAGGGGGAATTTCTTGTTTGTTTTTAACTTGTGATGTGTCATTTTGTAAAGCACTGTGTTGTATGAAAAGTGCTATATAAATAAAGCTTTATTATTATTCCAGGTGAGGTCTTCTTCACCAGTGACTACGACAGCTTCTCGTACGAGGAGGCTGTGCAGCACTGTCAGAAACTCAACACGACGCTGGCCACCACCGGACAGCTGTTTGCCGCCTGGAACCAGGGGCTGGATAAGTGCCGCCCGGGCTGGTTGTTGGACCGCAGCGTCCGCTTCCCCATCACAACCCCCAGGTCCCACTGTGGAGGAGGGCAGGTCGGCGTCCACATGATCTACGCCTACCCCAACCAGACAGGATTCCCCGATGAACACTCACGCTACGACGCCTATTGTTTCAAAGGTAGAACGTGTAGATTTTAGAAGGAAAAGAATAGCTGAAATACTACGTTTCTTCACATCTCCATCATCTTCCAGACAAAATCACCAACATTATACCCTGCATTATATTTGTTACTGGACATTTGTATTTCCACATGTATATTTTCCTCATGTATATATATATATAATTTTTACTTTTTAATGCTATTTTATTTCTATTTCAGAAATATTTTGGACTGTTTATTTCTAGTGTCTTAATTTCTCTTATGTACAACGCAAACATTTCCTCCAGACCAATAAAGTACCATTTTTTCCTCCAGACCATAAAGTACTTATCTATCTATCTATCTATCTATATGAATGCTATATCCTACATACTGAGCATTTCTTCTTTCCTTTTGTCTTTTTCAGCTGAAATTCCAGTTGATCACGTTGATAATGAAACCAGTATTGATCTGACGATTGATTTCATGATGGTGGATGTGATAAACAAGACAATAGTCAAGGTTGATCACTCGGTTCCCACAGGTGAGACAAATGCTTGAAATACTTTCTATGAAGTTCTTGTAATTACCTTGGCTTGGTTGTAAAGTTTTAATATTTCTAAAACATTGTCCAAAAGTACATTTTTCCGAAGTTTAGTAATATTGTAGTTAATAATTGAATCTCTTGTTTGTTGGATTTTAGTTGACACCACTGTACACTACAATGAAACTGAAACCAGTGTAAACATTACCGAAATAGAGGAGTTTATCAACAAGACAACCGTCACAACTCAACAAGTTGCTCCCACTGGTAAGTGCATTCTACCATGAAGCTAAACACAGCATTTGACTAGTAGTATCTAATGAACTTTTGATTTGTTTTCATGTTTCCCCCAGTGAGTCCAATTTTACCTCCAATCTCAACCTCCAAACCTGTTGATGTGTCCGGCTCTGGATCCGCTGAACCTTCCTCCAGCGGGGAGATCCCAGAGGAGTCCAGCACTTCGGGGTCCAGCACCTCGGGGTCCAGCACCTCGGGGTCCAGCACCTCGGGGTCCAGTGGTGATTCCTCCGGTTCGGGACAGGTCCTCTTCAGCGGACGTCCTGACGTCTTCTCCGGGGGTGAGTCCACCTCTGGAGGGCCGCAGGAGGCAGAAGGAGGAAGCGCCGTCTTGGTCTCATCCGGAGAAGGTGGTAGTCAATCTGGATCTGGATCTGGGGAAGGGTTCGACGGACAGCACTCTGGCTTCAAGGCATCCGGATCAGGTTTTACCAGCGGAAGTGGGGACATTAGTGGTAGTAGTGGAGACTCAATGATCATCATGGTGGACGGGAATATGAAGGAGGTGTGGCCAACTCCCCCAAGACCCACTGAGCAGGAGTGGGGCCAGGGAGGCATTGACAGCAGTGGGGTTAACTTGGAGTCGAGCGCCTCTGGATCTGGAAGTATGTCCGGGTCAGGCTCCGGTGGAATTTCTGGCATCTCATTCGTCGACCAGGGTGGCTTCGACCTGACAGTCCAGCCGTCCGGTGAGCAGGAGGTGTCTGGATATCGTCCGTTTGGATCCGGGTTCCACAGCGGCTTTCCATCCGGTGTCTCAGGCAGCGGCTCCGGCTCCGAGGACTTTATCCAGCATCGAGGGGACGTCATCTACCTCACGGACAACAACATGATGGAAGTGACCGAAGCGCCACAGATACGCCACCCAGAGCATGGCCGAGGAGTGGTGGAGATCAGCGGGCAAGGCAGTGGGTCAGGGAGCCATCATGAGTTCAGTGGCACCTTCGACATTAACATGCATCACTCCGGAAGTGGAGTCCCTCATGAATTATCTTCTCAGACTACAATCTATGAGGAAACTACCAGAACCGACCAATTAGGACACGAGGAAGAGGATCTGGAAAGACATGCAGAACCTACAGTTTATGCCGTGACTCCAGACGCAGCCTACACCAGCCCTACCACAGCACCGTCAGTGTCCTACGCAACTCCTTCTGTCATGGAGCAGCCTGAAGTAGTGGAAGGTATGTGTCTTTAGATCAAACTGTTTTACTAGGCCAAAAAATCTGCCAAATGCATGTTCAACATTTTGGGAAATACACATATTTATCCACCCAAAAGCCAGGTGTTCCATTCAAAGTAACAGGTAATACTTTAGAAAGAAACTACAAGGTTACTTCTGACCATTTTTGTCTGTGTCTCAAATGCATCTACCATTTAAAATATGCAAATAAGTCCACAGCTTCAGGCACTAATGCCAGCCGTCCCATTGCATCTCCCACAACATCGCAAGACATTTTGATAAACTGACTATATTTTCTTACTACTGATGAGTTAGAACTACAAAATCGAAATGACTTAACTTTGAACTTTTTCAACCTCCTCAGACCCCTGTGATCCAAACCCCTGCGGTTCAGGGTCCTGCTCGGTGCAGGAGGAGCTCGCTGTGTGTCAGTGTCCGACTGGTTTCTCTGGGGCAGACTGCTCGACACGTGAGTCACCAAACTACCATAACAAACAACATATTGTTTCAAATGCCATTTAGCTAAAAAGAACATTTCATAACAAGACATTTCATATTTTCTGCTTCTGACCAAATATGTTGTGTGTTGTGTGTAGCTGTGCAGGGCTGTGCTGAGGGCTGGCTGGAGTTCAAGGGCAGCTGTTACCTCCACTTTGCTGAGAGAGACACCTGGTCTGAGGCCGAGCAGCGCTGCCAGGAGGTCAACGCCCACCTGGTCAGCATCGGCTCCCAGGACGAGCAGCAGTTTGTCAACTGTGAGTATCTGTGTGTGTCTGTGCGTGCGTGCATCTGTGAGTGTGTGCATGTGTGCATCTGTGAGTGTGTGTCTGTGTCTAGCTGGTTGCAGGGCAATCTTTGGCATTTGATCATGTGCAAACTCAAGTCATACGAATGCAAGTGTTTTTTGTTTTTGTTTGGATCTGCAAACAATATATATATAATTCTAAAGGAAATATCTTAAATATCGAATACAATAGATTAGTTACAGGTGGGCTGTATTAAGAAAGCTATACATGCTACACAAGTTGGTTTACAAGTGGGAAGCCATTGAATGATCATGTCCCTCTTTTACTCAATGTAACAAGAACTACTTTACTGGCGAATGAGCGCTAAAAAAAGAAATTATAATTATTTCTGAGATTAAAGCGTGATATTTCACACTGCCTTAAGAGGGACTTGAAACTATGTAATCATCAATGCATCCATCTGTTCCCACACATGCTAATCCACACCCCAGGTATGGACCCCTACTTTGAGGGAGGACTTAAAAAAGTGGTTTAAAAAGCTTAAATCTGTTTTTTTATTTTGCAATGCAGCCAATGGCCAGGACTACCAGTGGATTGGACTGAACGACAAAGACGTGCAGAATCAGTTCCGCTGGACAGACGGCAGTCCTCTGGTGAGTCTGGTTTCTTTACAGCTATAAGTTATTCATCTTTGTTTACTGTATGTATCCATTAATCGTCTATGTTCCTTTCAGTCTTTTGAGAACTGGAGGCCCAACCAGCCAGATAACTACTTCAACTCTGAGGAGGACTGTGTGGTGATGATCTGGCACGAGGGCGGACAGTGGAACGACGTGCCGTGCAACTACCACCTCCCCTTCACCTGCAAGACTGGACCTGGTAGGCTCACTGGGTTTTAATATGTATCAGGCCAGGAAGTTACTTTCTAGAAGGAACATTTGTTCAGGATGTGGAGCAGTTTGATTGATAAATGATGCACAACCAACCTGGACCAAGACAAGCTTCTACTACAACTAGTTGCCTTAAAGGTCACCTATTATGCAAAACCCATTTGTTCATGTCTCTTCTACATCAACATGTGTCCCCTCTTCTTCATGTCTCTTCTACATCAACATGTGTCCCCTCTTCTTCATGTCTCTTCTACATCAACATGTGTCCCCTCTTCTTCATGTCTCTTCTACATCAACATGTGTCCCCTCTTCTCCATGTCTCTTCTACATCAACATGTGTCCCCCCTTCTTCATGTCTCTTCTACATCAACATGTGTCCCCTCTTCTTCATGTCTCTTCTACATCAACATGTGTCCCCTCTTCTTCATGTCTCTTCTACATCAACATGTGTCCCCTCTTCTTCATGTCTCTTCTACATCAACATGTGTCCCCTCTTCTTCATGTCTCTTCTACATCAACATGTGTCCCCTCTTCTTCATGTCTCTTCTACATCAACATGTGTCCCCTCTTCTTCATGTCTCTTCTACATCAACATGTGTCCCCTCTTCTTCATGTCTCTTCTACATCAACATGTGTCCCCTCTTCTTCATGTCTCTTCTACATCAACATGTGTCCCCTCTTCTTCATGTCTCTTCTACATCAACATGTGTCCCCTCTTCTTCAAGTCTCTTCTACATCAACATGTGTCCCCTCTTCTTCATGTCTCTTCTACATCAACATGTGTCCCCTCTTCTTCATGTCTCTTCTACATCAACATGTGTCCCCTCTTCTCCATGTCTCTTCTACATCAACATGTGTCCCCTCTTCTTCATGTCTCTTCTACATCACCATGTGTCCCCTCTTCTCCATGTCTCTTCTACATCAACATGTGTCCCCTCTTCTTCATGTCTCTTCTACATCAACATGTGTCCCCTCTTCTTCATGTCTCTTCTACATCAACATGTGTCCCCTCTTCTTCATGTCTCTTCTACATCAACATGTGTCCCCTCTTCTCCATGTCTCTTCTACATCAACATGTGTCCCCTCTTCTTCATGTCTCTTCTACATCAACATGTGTCCCCTCTTCTTCATGTCTCTTCTACATCAACATGTGTCCCCTCTTCTCCATGTCTCTTCTACATCAACATGTGTCCCCTCTTCTTCATGTCTCTTCTACATCAACATGTGTCCCCTCTTCTCCATGTCTCTTCTACATCAACATGTGTCCCCTCTTCTCCATGTCTCTTCTACATCAACATGTGTCCCCTCTTCTTCATGTCTCTTCTACATCAACATGTGTCCCCTCTGTGGAAAGAGATTCTGAAAGTTTCAGGAACAAAGATTCTCTCTCTTTTTGATCCATTTCTATAAAAACCTGTCTGAAAATGAGCTGATCAGATTTTGGCCACTTTATGATGTCATAACGATTTCTTAGCTTGTGTAACCATTAGCCAATCAGCAACCAAGGTAACCCCCCCCACACACACCTTATCACCTGAATCTCCTCCAAGAGCACCATTGTGTTCTTTGTAACCAAATCTCTCTCAGAGGGGCGTGGGGAGGGGCTCCTTATTTTCATCTAAAGTAACAGACAGAGAATCAGCACTTTGGAAACAGGGCTGAAACAGAGGGGATTATGGGTAATGCTGCAATGATCTGTTTGGTGTTTGGAGCAAAACACTTCTGAGACCTATCATATATTGATGAAGAACAGTATAATAGGGGACCTTTAATAACATTTTCTCTGTCTTGGTTTTCCAGCCATGTGTGGATCCCCTCCTGAGGTGGAGCACGGCCGACCGATGGGCAGCGGCAGAGAGCGATACCCCGTCGACTCTATAGTCCGCTACCAGTGTGACGCCGGCTACACACAGCGCCACCTGCCCGTAATCCGCTGCCTGCCCGACGGACAGTGGGAGCAGCCTCAAGTGGAATGTACAGAAGGTGAGAAATACTGTCATATGTGTCTCAAACAATAACATAGCTACAGTGTAGTTATGTCGATGAAAATCTTAGGTCACAGGCTCCTCCCACAGTGCAACACAATAAAACAGTAAATACAAACAAAAATAGTAAAGTAGTGAAATAAGAGTCTATATATAAGTGATTGGAATATGATATATTAGATCAATAATTCATCTGTTGGCCCCTCATGATGTTAACAGCTTGGTTTCCTTTTCTCCCGCAGCCGGCGCCAACAGCAACAGGCTACACAAAAGATCCCTCAGGAGGAGAAGTAAAGGCGTCAGGAGCCAATAGGAACAGAGGAAGCTGCTCTGAGCAGGAATAAAAAGGACATACAACAGAGAGCCACAAAGGACCCCCCCCTCTTGTAAAGAAGCATGGACACCAATGCAAATGCCCGACCAAAAAGATAACATTCCCCACCGTGTATGGACACACACTAAAGCACATTTAGACAGTGGTAGTGTAATTGTTTTGGATCTTTGAGTGTCACCCTGCACCTTCTGAAGGCGGTTTCCATAGGTATTTATACTGTCTGATTTGTAGCTAGTAATTGGAAGCATTATGACATTTCCTGCAATCATTTGCCAGCATTGCACACAGAGTTAAGGTAGAGTGTGACATGAGAGGTTTTAGAGTGACACGCAAAGTCCAAAACAACCAATTAAAATAAGTGTTTTCGATTGCAGCTGGATTCTCTGAAGTCAAACACATAGACTTTTGCTATGTTTTTAGGGTACTTTTCTAGATCTGTGTTTCGTAGTCATTTTTATTTCTTTTATTTGATCTTTAAGGACTACATGTTCTTCAGACTGGTGGAATACTGTTTTATGTTGTTTTTTTACATAATAGGCGAATACAGTGACCCCTTAAAATACAGCCATGAGCTCTTGTTAACAACAGAGAACTGTGAAGGTAACGTTTATTGGATTTATCAGAGCCTTGACGCTTACAGTATTGCATAAAATCCCAGATATGAGTACAAGCAAGGGCAAGAGATGATGCCCCTGTGCAACAACACAACCGCAGTATCGGCAATACTGACATGATTGTGCTGTTCCAACTGATGATGAATATAGAAATCAAGACGTAAATAAAGTCACTGCAACTCACCTGGATTAAAATAATCAGCACTCATGCACTTTTAGGAGTCTTCAGTCACTTCTGTGCTAATCATTTGAATCCAGTGCACCTTAAACATATCCTCATCTGTAGCTGACACATAAGGAAACTGAATCAAAGTGAGATCTACAGTATGACACTGAATTGGTTGCTTTTGGCAAAAGATCTCCTCCCAATTTTGCAGGTTTACATTTCTCCAGAGCAATCGATGTCAGCACCGTCAGATCATGCTTTTATGAGATTCAGTGTTTGCTGAATGAAGTTTCTCACTGTAAATACTCTCTGAACAGCAGGATCTGTCAATGACCCACACAGAGCTGACAATTTAATTGTTTAGTTCCTCATCAATCCGTGTGTTGCTTTGTTAGTTTAAATAGCTGTTAAGTTGCAGCTATGAGTTATTTATCAAGCAGGAATGACTTTTGATTTTGACAAACAGCGTATGAAGACACAATATGATTTTTCTAATAAAGACATCTTTGTGGAAGTTGCTGTGTTTCATGCAGATCTATCAGCAGAAATGTATTTCTTAACCCTTGAGGAGTTACACAGTTGTAGGGAAAATAAGCTGTGAAAACAGTAGAAATTATATTAAAAATTAAGTTAAAAAGAGAGGGTTGAGATGGAGGTTTTAAAATGATGACCATGACCTTTAAAAGGTCAGGATTCAAACTCTTAAACAGCAACCACACACACATGGACGCACACACACACTCACTCACAATTGAGTATACACACTACAAAATATGAAAGTAGGACTTTGCGTGACGACGCCACAAAGGTACACCTAGCTGGCTCAAAGTAAATAAAGTCGATCTGGATATCAATGACAGAGTGTATGCTCATGGAGGATAACATCAGTGAGTCTTTATCAGTTTTTTGATTTTTCATCAAATCTTTAGACGAGTAAACCAAAATGTGTGTAACGTGGCACACAGACACGTCTGTTGTGTTCAGATCCCAATCCTGATGTGAACATACTGAACTGTGCTGTACCAAATAAAACTTGGAATCATCTCTCTGTGAAGTTATTGGCCTAGTGTGCAAAGCCATCACTTATTATCCAGGAGTCATTGACATTTTATATTAAAGAACTGTATTTCATTCATGAAAATCACACACAGAGGTTTTCTGTCATTTTCTAGAAGCACCATCTTTCCCCAGAGCTGTTTGAATTTGAGGTGGACTCTCCGAGCCAAAGGAACAAACCTGGCATTTAGTTTGTTTTCGCCTTCCTGAGGAACCCAACCGTGAAAAACTCACAGTAAATAGCTCCTTCTTCTTCTACAGCGCCTACCTTCATCCCATCAGTCGCCTCAAACAGATCTTCTCTGTATACAAATGCATGTGCGGTTGCACGTTTGCACAGTCACACTGTATATATGTGTGTGTGTACATTAATCTGATGTGTGCGTGTCGGCATGTAATCCCTGTGTGTGTTTATGTGTGTGTGTTCAGGTGTAAATAGGACGTGTTTATGAAAAACTAGCTGACCATATAATCACTGGGACTACTGTTCACACCGGGATGCAGGAGGGCGAAGTAACGCTTCGACCCCACTCGTCTAAAAGTGCATCTCGCGCCCAGACAGAGAGACGCTGTTTACATACAGTGGCTGTTTTGTACGAGTCAGGTACCCATCTCACCTCTCTACCCTGGCATTCCTGTTTGGACTGTGAGTGAAACTGTATCACACCTTGAGAGCCACACCAACCAGGGGTGGCTCAGACTGAAAACATCAGTGTTTCATAAATCCAGCAAATTCAAAGCATAACAAAAATCTAAATATGTTATACATTTGAGAACTGATAATCAGTATTTAGCCACCAAGTGACAACCTTTTCAATTCTAATAAAGTAAAGTCATTAAGTCTTAAACACGCATTATCATTAGTAGCCAGCAGGGGGAGACAAATAAATTAGCTTGTCTATGAGAAATGAATTTATCACTTTACTTTCTCAGACATGTTCCTAATAACTTTATGGTCTAAATTGCTAGTTTAAAATGTTCTCCTGATATTCATTCAGTAAATGATGGTCACATTAAAAAGAAAACAGACAAAAAAGTGGCGTTGTTCAGCATTTGTCAGTTATAATTTTATAACTAACAAATGCTGAACAACGCCACTTTTTTGTCTGTTTTCTTGGCACATGGCTCTTCCTTTTATTCTCAATAGCTTAATTTAAATTTGTAGTGTGTTTCTTGCCATCCAACCCCCGGATAGAGATTGCTTACTAAGCCTGCTAGCATGTTAACAAGGTGTTATGCCAACCTGCTAGCCTTAGCATGCATACATTCAAATTTAGCTTGATAACTGTAGTTAACAAACGTTTGACTCACCCAAAGCAGCCAGACTGGACTCTGTTTCACCCATGCACCGTAAGAAGGCTTTGAAGTGGCTTTCGAGCCTTCAAGACCATCACATGGTCCAAAACAGCAGTAAAAGCAAAAAGATTCTCTGCTCATGGTGAAAACCTATCCTCTTCAGCTGTTATCATGGTGTCTCCAGGGGTTTAGCATCAGTGGCTAATCAGTCCTCCATTCTCTAACAACACTCCTGCTAATCTACCAAACTATTTCTTATGATTTATAATAGTTGTACAAGCATTGACGGATTACTAAAATATCTACAGGGCACATCCGGGGACCAAAGTGTTGGGACGCATAATTACTACAAAAAGCCATAAAACAATTATGAGACACAAACGGATCAAAGGACCACAAAGAGACACGAAACTACACATGTTCCGTCTGCAATAACTTTGATGTATGAAATTATATTTTTCCTAAATCACCCAATATTATAACCAATGCACTTTGTATGAAAACATCTTTACAGTAGTCTTTTTATTAATTTGTAGAAAACAGTACAAATGCATATACATATACAATGAAACACAAAACCAATAGATACATAAGTATTTGATGAAACACTGCTTCTTCTTCCACAAAGGATGTAAACAAGGTAAGGTAGTTTAAACATAACAACAATACAGATACTTACTCTTAAATTCTGGTTTCTCCATCACAGAGCACTACTCTTAATCGCCCAGAAAAATGCTAAAAGAGATGCATTACACTTCTCTAATGGAATACAAAGACATACAAAGACTCTAGTATATTTCACAGTGTTAGAAAGTCAAAAAGAGTTACCTAGAGTAAATGAGAGTACAATCATGGACCATCTGGAAAGATCTGAGAGGAAAACACTCTTCACTACCTCATCCAACAAGGTGCTTTTTAGCACGGCGCTTACCAAAGAGTTGCCCGAAACCCACTGACACCTCTGAGATGAACTGGAACACAGACAGTGAGCCTTATTGCCCAATATCAACCTATAAAATAGGGTTTAAAAATATTGTAGCTGTATAAGCAGCATGCTAATGCCCATGGTTTTGTATTGAGACGTGGGTATAATGTTCTTGTTCTGGCCATATAGCCTACAGAGACATTTAATTAAGTACAAGTGGCATCCCAAGATAAATGTACACATTTAAACAGAGGTTGTCGGTAGTAAAGTTCAATACGAATATAGTCTTACGGAGGTGGAGTGTGACTAACCCAAATGGACTGAAATAGCTCAGAAATGAAGAAACTGCTCATTTGCTCCCAGGCTATAGCTAATGCTAACCTCACAAACCCAGTTTTGAACCAATGTGCTGTTTGTCTTATTTTGAGCCGAAGCATCTACCGATAACAGTAGACGGCAAATTTCAGGCTCAGAGGGGGGAACCCAAAACTACGCACCCCTGGTTTTGGTGGGCCGCAGTTAGCTCGGGCCTTTGTGATGGGATAACGGACGCTCCCGTCAGCCAACCATCCGGCGTCACAGCGGTCCAACCCCATCAGCCTCCAGGCGGCGTACATCTGGCCCACTTTGGCTATTTGACTTCCATCACTGGCACAAGCCTGGACCGCTTCTGTGAAGTTGAGCTTGGTGTGGTGCTTTAAGAAGTACACGGTCCCTAAATCAGAAGAGAATCATAGGTGAAGAGATTAAACTTGATGTATTTGGGTTTGAAGACAAGGAGTAGACAGTCTAAATCTACATTCATCAGTTATAGGCCTAGTAGGTTAAAATAGCGCGGCCTAGCCATCTTTGTGTTTACTGTGACAGAAACCGGGAGCTGAACAGTTCATGTAAGCTGTATTTAACGAACTAAATCTAGTTCCATTAGACCACATGACATAAGGAAAAGGGGCAAAGGAAATTGGAGATGGACCTTCAGTTAGCGTCTACAGCAGCTCAATCTCAGCGAAACACAAACCCTAGCGCCGGTTTTGTGTTACCCGAATACGAGGCAAAACCAAAACCACCAGCCAAAGGCGAGGAGAACGAGTTGTGAAACACGAGTCGTTTTTGTTTCTGCCTCATTGGATTGAATCCGATAAACTGACCCTGTACTTTCAACGTGAAATTTGACATGGCCTCGGACGGCTCTACTTCTCTGGTCTTTCGAATATTTTCTTTGTAGTTTCATTCTTTAATAAGTAGAAACTGGACACTAGTGACTCACTGTTGCATCTCGAGGAGGAAGTGTTATTACAAGAAAGAATGGGCCTAGACTGTTCATTAAGTTCATTAGATATCTTTGCACCAGAATAAGTAGATATCTATGGCCATATCTTGCACCTTTTGAAAAGTTCCCAATCAGTCATACTCGGCTTCATGGGGGGTCATTCGCGGGCCATGCCCCCCCAAATGAGTCACTGTGCCCCCCCCAATGCAGGGTGGGCAAGCCTTATTGCCACTTTGCCGTTTTTTTTTTTTTAATCATATAAGTTAAAACGTTTCCACTAAAAGTTTTTTGTGTGAAGTACATCAGAAATAAAGAATACAAATTGGTATTCTTTATTTATTCTTTATATGAAACACAGCCTGAGGTGTGCTCACTGCTGCTCTCTGATTGGTGTGTTGCTTGACCAATGACCCCCGACCTTTGTTTTGTTATCATTACGTGGCTGTGTGTTTAGATGAAAGCCCAGTGGCGATCTGTCCATCTGTTATACTGATTATACAGTAAAGTCATCGAAAATAATATGATATACAGTACAGTACAAGTACATGGGTCTCTGTGTTTCATTCAAGCTCGGCTCTCTGTGTGTGGCACGAGCGCATTTTGTCAGTGCGCGAGCGGTAACGTGGAATATTGTTGTTAGCATCTAGTTAGCTAGCTATGCTAACGGAATAAAGAGCTGTTTCTACACCAAGGTGGAGGAGAGTCCTCTCCTGTCAGACTGAGAGGATCTTATAACGTCAGCTCAGTGAGGTAAAGGACTCTCAGTGTTTAGATAGTTCACTTTAGTGTAAGTTATCTCAGTGGGTCTCAAACGGTTTGGTGACCATTTATGTAAACAAGTATTTGCGAGGAATAGGCTACCTTTATATGATCATTATAGTTATTAAAGAATAAGAGAATAAATGGAAAACGGGTATGAAATACTATAGGACAGTAACACAAGAATACCATTTAAAAGGGGCGTGATTAGTAAAATATCCATAAAGAAAAAGTAAATCTGTTTACAGTTCGGTTTCATATGGATGTTGAGAGATGTATCCATAGATCTCTTAATTTTGCTCTCAAAGTGCACCAGATGAATGCTTTTAACTTCAATATTTAAAAAAACATCTTCCCGGGGGAGCATGCCCCCAGACCCTCCTAGAGGAGGTTAGGTCCACCCCCACCTAAAACATGTTCACATGGATACATTTGCACACTTTTTATATGGTGGCCTATGTCCATATGTTTCATATGTCTGCACAAGTCATAGGTGCGCTATAAAATAGCACTACACCCCTGCAATGTGTGTGAGAGACAATAGCTTTACAGCATGTTTTTTTTAAATTGAAGTTGCGTTGGTGTTTGTGTGTTGGTTATTGACGGCAGTGTGTGCCCCCCCTTGGTAAATGATTTCCCCCCCATTTGATTTGTTCTAGAGCCGACCCTGGTCATACTGACCCTTGACAGAGGCGGAGAAGCAGAAGGAGTCGTAGTGGTGGAGGAGGCGATGTCGTTGTCCATAGTTGCGCAGACCAGGAGCTAAGTCATCTCCACCGCATCCGTCACGAGGGGCTGTGATTGGATACTGCACTGTGCCGTCAGCCAACCAGCCGGCGTTACACCAGTCCAGCCCCTCATCCCACGCCGTGAAGAGCTGCTCAAATGTAGCCAGTGTGGCCTCCTGATCCTTGCACGCCTGTTTGGCCTCAAAGAAGTTAAAAAGGTAGCGTCCTTTCTGAGAGAAGTAGGGGAACACCACACCTACAGAGGGAGGAGAGGTTAGAAATGAGCTTTTATGGTGATACATAGACATAGACATAGACCTGGTAGTAAGATACTGTCCCATTAAGAAAGAGCAATGATTATGAATGAATAGTATTTTGGCAAGTATGATTGAAAGGTGCACCAGTTGAATTTTACTCTGTCCGTTTTACTTCTGTCAAAAAGGCCAGCCCCTCTCCTCTTGGAGTTCACACTCACACACTCTCCTCACCCCTCATCTCTAGGTCCACCGTCACACTCTCATCCTCCAGGCCATCGATCACCTCACAGCGGTATCTCCCCGTGTCGTTGAGCTGCAGCTCGTTGATCACCAACGACATGTCGCCTGGGGCCGAGCGTCGCAGGCGGACCCTTCCCTTAAAGCTGCCGTAGCTGCGGTGACGGTTGCCCATGGCCACCATGACCTCCGTTTCCATGGCGAGGGCTTGCAGGGACACAGGTGCACTGACAGTGTTGGCGGGAAGCCACGACCATTTGACCCGAGTCCTGCGAGGCGCGGAGGGCTCGGGCTCGTAGTGGAAGTGGCAGGGCAGCGTGACACTGCTGCCCCTGGAGGCCGATACCGAGATCTCCGGGGACTCCACCAGGAGGCGCACCCCGTTAAAGTAGACTAGAGAAAACACAAGAACAGAAATATTAAAGGTCACATATTATGCAAAATCCACTTGTTCATGTCTCTTCTACATCAACATGTGTCCCCTCTTCTTCATGTCTCTTCTACATCACCATGTGTCCCCTCTGTGGAAAGAGATTCTGAAAGTTTCAGGAAAAAAGGTTCTCTCTCTTTTTGTCCTGAACCATTTACATAAAAACCTGTCTGAAAATGAGCTGATCAGATTTTGGCCATAACGATGTTTTGGCGTGTGTAACCATTAGCCAATCACCAACCAAGGTAACCCCCCCCCCCACCTTATCACCTGAATCTCCTCCTAGAGCACCTTTGTGTTCTTTTTAACCAAATCTCTCTCAGAGGGGCGTGGGGAGGGGCTCCTTATTTTCATCTAGAGTAACAGACAGAGAATCTGCACTTTGGAAACGGCTGAAACAGAGGGGATTATGGGTAATGCTGCAATGATCTGTTTGGTGTTTCAGCCAATCAGAGACTTGTTTTGTATATATCTGAGACCTATAACATATTGATGAAAAACAGTAGAATAGGGGACCTTTAAGATAATGTATTTATAGGATTATTAAAGCTAAATCTTTCTGATATTTACTCCTCACTGGTCATGTAATGGAGCACTTTGTCTTAAATCCTCCATCCCACAAGGTCCCACAGATTTGTTTACCAGAATCAGAATCCAGTTTATTGCCAGGTTAATAAGTATATTAAGGAAGTTGCATTGATGTTATGGTGCAACACATAAACATAGGAAGAAACCTTTTACAGGAGCACTGATATTTCAATAAGATTAATTTTGTAGCTGTTTTGAATCAGCATCATTTCACAGCTGTACGGACCTCACAGTGGACAGTTTACCTGTTAAACTAAGGTGTTACTAAAAACATCAATACAGTCTCTCTGGCCAAACTTCATGGATTAGAGCGTAATCATAAATGTTATTATTCACACAAATGCATTTAGAGAAACTGCCCTGAGAAAGTGTTCAGTCATATTCTAACCCTCGACTGGTCTGACATCAAACACAGAATGTACGCCCCCTGCAGGACTGTTTACGTCAATGAGTCTGCATTTCCAACTTTGTACAGTCTATGATTTTCATGTTAACAGTGGTCCCAAATGTCTTATATTATTTCCTTTATATGAGACAAATAAACGCTACTAATTACTTTGGATAGGTCTATATTTTCTTTAGTGCAACACAAACGGATATGTTCACCACACTCACACAGGTCAACCGTTACAAAAACAACATCAATAACTACAGAGTTTGTTATTTCAACCCCTCCTCCCAGCACATCCAGCTGCTGTGATGTAAACAAACATTAATCTGCTTCTCACACACAGCAGAGGTGGAATAGTATTCAAAGTTCTGACTTGCTCTGATTGTGTCAAATATTCTGTTTCAAGTAAACAGTATTTAAAGTTTTACTAAAAAATACCAAAATATTAGCTTTCACATATCAAAATAAGAGTATGCATCATGCAGACAGCCCCATTTCAGAATCATCACTTGATTATAATCATTGTTGCATTCATACGCAAGTCTAATGTTTAAGTGAGTAAAGGAGCACATTTCAACTTTATTTGCCTGCAGCTGAATGATGTAATAAATCATAATTCATTTGTTGAAATATTTTTGTAGCGCTATTATCAATCTGAATATGGAAATGAACCAGTAACTTAAAAATACATTCTGTAGTGTAAAGGGTAGAATATTTCCCTTTAGTAGTGGAGTAGAAGTAAAGCATACTGTAACATGGAAATATATCCATATCCATAGTTAGTAGATATGGCAATGAAACACTTAAGTCACAGGCTCCTCCAACAATGCAACATGAATATATATTGGACATAAAACAAATAAATAAAATAAAATAGTGCAAGGGAACAAATGTGCTACAACAATTCTCACAGTCTATGATTAAAACACACATAGACATGAACAGCCCTCTCTTTTAGATCCACACACACACACACACACACACACACACACACACACACACACACACACACACACACACACACACTTACTCTCTCCGTTTCCGTTTCCATGGCTGATGTCCTGGTAGTGAAAGCCGTTGTTGTAGCGGGGGCTCCAGGCCTGAGAGCCGGGCAGCAGCAGCAGCAGGCAGGCGGCCAGCAGGGAGCGCAGCGGGGTCAGCATGTTGATCTGCGGAGCAACCGTCACAACATGAGTGAACCCCTATCTGCTCTGCTGTCAATTACTAATATTAGCAACATATATACCAAGAGGAGGACGCCGATGAATCACACACTGGCAAGCAATTAATTCGATGCACGCAATTGTATTAAAGCATCTGTATTAAAGAGATATACATAATTATCTTTCAAAATCCCTAAAATATGTGACTCAAAGGAGACGCTGGAGTGCTGATAATCCAATGTCAGAATCAGTATTGCATTACATTAATACAAATGTAAATAAATACATAAATAAAACATGAGCTTCTTCAGCGTTTAGATGAAAGAATGTTTGGTGTGTTCACAATGGTTGTTAAACACAGCCTACTTTCATCCTACATTTGTAAAAATGACGTCAAAGTATATAAAAAACATTTATCACTCATTTTATTTTATGACATTATAGACAATCTATTAGGAACTAAATAAACTTCTCTCAAACCCCTGTCATTAGACAATTACGTTTAATATATTCAATTATCTCCTTCCTATTCTCTTTCTCCTTTAAAGATTGCAACCCCCTACATATCACCAATAACGCTATGATTATAATAATGATATGTTAATGTAATCATTACATACATTACATTTTAATTACTTCTTCCGTGCTGCTTTACAAGGTATAGCCTATACAGTGTTACTACTCTCTGTTGACTAACTGAATTATTAGGCTACCATTTCTCGAAAATTCACCCGTAAATCAAGAATGAAAAACTAAAGAAAAAGCCAAACAGTGAATACCTCCGCGGTTTAAATCCTCCGCCGCTTTATCGTCCGTCTATGGGAACCAAGAAGTCGTAAAGTGAGTCACACAGAAAGCAGCAGTCCTCTCAGCGTCTTCAGATCATCTCCTCCTCATCCTCTGCCTCTCTCAGACACACTGAGAGCAGCACGAGCGCTACGTCACGCGACGAGGCATCCCCTTTGAAGTGAGCAGTGACCTCACATCATGCACGAGACCAGAAAACAAAAAATAAATAAAACACCTACTTATACTCGTAATTAGGTATTTGTGCTTTTCTTAAGCCTTTTCTCTTCATGTGATGCTTTTACTGGAAACAAATAATGAATTGACAACTTTTTTTCATTGTTTGAGTCATTTAACATGCACACATCAATCAATCAACAACTTTATTAATCCCGCAAGGGGCAATTGGTTATGAGCAGCAGTTTATGTCATGTACACAGGCAGGAACATACAAGAAGAAAACACACAGATACACCTGGGAGCACAGATGTGGATAATTCCAATTTACACTATAAACAGTTCAAAGCATCACAATAATAAATAAATAATCAAGTTAAAAGCCTTTTCAAGAATTTAAAAGTTTGAGTGCAGAAGGGATGAATGATTTAGAAAAGCATTTGTTAATGTTTCCAACTTCACAAATACAACAATATTCTGCTTTCCCCTTATTTTAATAGTTTTACTTCATTATAACAGTTATCAGTAGTGGAACATGTGCTTTCAACCCAGTCTCATAAAAAAACGTGTAATAACTACGTTGGTCCACAACGTAGGACGTAGTATTTCTACAAAAACGCCTCTGAAATTGTAGGATCTCTACGTTTTTTTTCACCATTCATTCCAATGAGTGGCGTCTATGTCACGTGATCTTCACATTTCTCCCTGCAGAAAAAAAAAACATGGTCGAACTTCGTTTTATTCTCGGTGTAAAATGCCTATTTTAAAGTTAGTTTGGCCATTAAAATGCCTTTTGATGTCATTTGATGCGAGAAATATGAGTTGTTATTTCAGATTATGTGTGCAGTGGATGTACATGATCTTTAGTTTGCTAGTTATTACGAAGATTAATTCAGGAAATTGTGTCGATATAACGTTTTTCATTGTTACCAAGGTGGTTGCTAGAGACGCTGCTATCGATATTATTTCTGTTATGTTGTGTAACAGTTTAATGGTGTAATCTTTATTGCTACCCCCTTCCCCGTCAATGTATAGTGTTGGTCCACAGAACAAACGTATTAGTTTAACAAAATCCGCATCTAAAATTGTGGCATATACAATATTATTTTCCCCTGTGCAATTCCAGTCTCACATCTCACATCACATCGTCATAAACAAATACCGGAAACAGACCGAAAACACTTTATTCCGAGTGTGCTTTCTTTTCTCTTTGAAAGTCATCACATAACGGCATTGTAATACACGGTTCGGCTGCATTAAATATTACATATCTGCCGTAGTTCTCTATTTATAGAGCCCTGATGAGAAGACTTCTAGACAAACATGAGGAACTGCCGCCAACACTGAAAACGTGACATGGATCATAAATATATCAGCCATTAAACAACATCTTACATTTCTTTTCACACAATACGTCTCCTTGCAGTATCAACACTAGTTCGGCTGACTTTTATATTTTATCCAATTGGTAGATAGGCTGTATTTACACCATAAAGGTGCACAGCTGATATAAAGGGACATAAAGCATTAAAGCATGTTATTGAATTTCATTATTTTTATTATTAGATATTAATAGGATCCCTATAAAGTATATTAATTACTCGTTATTCTCTACTAATAGTTAATTAAAGACTGTATATAATGACTATTTTGCACATCCCTTTCAAGATTTCAA